AGAGTGGAGAAAGAGCAGCGAGGCCACATCGACCTCTGAGAGGGCCGTGGCGGTCGTGAAGCTCTCCTCGAGTGAGGGGTCGCCGATCTTCGTCGCGCCGGAAGTCTCGTCAAATAAGGGGGCGAGCTCGGCGTAGGCGCCGATGTTGAGCTTCATGGAGGTAGTCGGGTAGGTCTTACCGATCCCGATCTCGACGTTGGAGTGGGCCGTGGCGGTCGTGCAATCCGCCTCGTCCGTCGTGGAGCCCGGGACAGGCTTGTTCTGTGAAGGGGGAGGGGCGTGGGGGAGTAGGGGCGGAGGCGGGGACGGCGCGCAGCGGAGGCGCCGATGTGGGGCCGACGGTGTGGGAGCGGGGAGCGAGGGCGGGGCGAAGGGGGGGCGAGAGAGGGCGGAGGGCGGCGCAGGGGAGGGCGGCGGAGCAGGGAGAGGCGGCTAGGGAGGTGGGGGGGGCGGCGGGGGAGGGCGGCCGGCAAGGAATGGTGTTGGGGAGGCGGAGGGGGAGAGGGGTGAGGGAGGTGGCGGCGGCGGAGGAGGGGGCGGGGAAGGAGGTGGGGAGGGCGGCTGGGGGAGGGCGGGGGCGGGGGCGGGCGCGGGGAGGGGGAGGGGGTGGTGGGGGGAGAGTGGAGGGCGGCGAGGACGCCCGGGCGGAGATGGAGAGGCGGGGAGGGCGGCGGAGCACGTGCCCCCGTGAGAGAGGCCAGACGGTGTGTGAGAGAGCGGAGAGTCGCACACCTTTGTGTCCGTCTCGTCGGCCTCGCCCTTGGAGTGGGCCGTGGCGGTCGTGCAGACCGTCTCGTTGCTCGTGGAGCCCGAGGCCTTTATCGGATCCTCGGAGACGCAGAGCTCGGTGAGCGGCGGCGGCGGCTCCGCGCACCACACAGGGGCGCCGCCGCCGCCGCACGTGACACCGACGGAGTTGGCGGTGGAGTCGGCGAGCGAGACGTCGCCATTCTTGACCGCGCCGGCAGCCTCGCCAAAGGAGGCGAGCTCGGCGTCGGCCGCGGCGCCGATGGGCTTGACGGTGGTCGGGGCGGCGGCGCGCGAGGCGGCGCCGCTGAACTTGGAGATGTTGAACGGAAGAGAAGTGAGAAG